GGAGGAGGAGGAGAGGGAGGAAGGGTGAGGATGGAGGAGGCAGTTGAGGGAGCAGGCGGGGGGGGATGACGAGGAGGGGGAGCATGAGGAGGAGGAAGAGGAGCAGGCACAGGGAGTTCTCGGGGGGGGCCTCTTGGGGGTAGTTCTGGGGCCTCTTGGGAGGCTGTTGGGGGCCGCTGGGGAGCCTCGTGGGGGCCTCTTGGAGCTTCCTGGGGGTCTCTTGGGAGCCTCGTGGGGCTTCGTGGGGAGCTTCCTATGGGGGCCTCCTGGGAGCTTCTGTGGCCGAGGGTTCGAAATGTCCGGTCGAGTCTCCAGTCTGGGCTCTCTCTTGGAGCCGTCTTAGGGACCTCTTGGGCTATCTTGGAGGCGTCTTGGGCGATATTGGGGCGGTCTTGGGGGCCTCTTGGCCTGTCTTGGAGCGTCGGGAAGCTGACAGGGCGAGAACGCCCAAATCTTTCAAAACCTAAGGGACATCTATGATTTTTGCTCCTTGGGTGGGGCCCTCCCTCTTGGGAGTGCCCTTGGATTGGGAACTTCCGAAGCTGTCTGGAGGCTATCGCGACTTGGACCGATACTTCGGCGATTCGGAGCCCTCGAGCAGGCCCCAGTGGCCGCGTCCGCGTGCGGTTCCCCGCCCACCGCGCGTCCATTTTGGCGCACCCTCACACAGTTCGTGGCCTCAAAGGGGGCCCCACCGATGGCCCCGGTGGCAGGGTTTCGCATGCGTTGCCCCGCCCATCGCGCGCCCATTTCGGCACACCCCTCACATGGTTCGTGGCCTTCTAGGGGGCCCCACCGCAGGCCCCAGTGGCCGCGCCGGAATGCGTCCTCCCCGCCCACCGCATGCCCATTTCGGCACACCCCTCACACGGTTCGTGGCCCCATAGGGAGCTCCACCGACGGCTCCAGTGGGAGGGTTCACATGGCACCACCGCGCCCAATTCGGTACACCCCCTCACACGGTTCGTGGCCCCAGAGGATGCTCCACCGAAGGCTTCAGTGGGACAGTGGGAGGGTTTACATTGCACCACCGCGCCCAATCTGGCACACCCCTCCTACTGGTCGTGGTCCCACAGGGAGTTCTGCCGAAGGCTCCAGTGGGAGGGTTCGCATGGCAGCACCGCGCCCAATTCGTTACACCCCCTCACACGGTTCGTGGCCCCAGAGGATGCTCCACCGAGAGCGGTACCCACAACGCGGCTTTCGCAGCTGCACTTTGGACAGGCTGATTCTGAATCCACTATTGTTCTTTCTATTGTTCTCACAATTGTTTTTCATTCTATTGTTTTTTGGGACTGATTTATATTGATTTTCATTGTTTGTTGAATATTTTTGGACTATTTTTATTTGTTCTTTCCACATCCCCCTGTAGGGGGACAGGCCCGACCCAACGGCCGGTTCGCGCCGCATCTCGCCGCGGCGGCGGCGCCGGGGCCCGGGCGTTCCGGGCGATCGGCGCGATCGGAGCGGTCGGGAAGCCGCGATCGTTCCAGGTCCTCGAGGGCCAAAGAGCCCCCGACCCGAATATCAAGTCGGGCGTGTCCCTCTGCAGGAGGGATCTTCAAGCACCGTAAAAAACTCGTCTCGGGACGATTCTACGTATTTTTCACCATGCTGGGATATTGTTTGATTATTCTTCATCTTTTGTGTACTATTTGTTTATATTATTTGTATGTTTCCTGGACGATCCGCCTGCAGGAGGACATGCCCGACCTAACACCCTAGCCCTCACCCCACACCCTGATGACACGATGAAGACGTGGCCTCGCTGAGGTCCCCGTTCTTGCACTAGGGATAAGAGATCTTGGTGGTCTGGTTCGATACGACCCCCTATCCCTGATGTTTAGGTCCCCTCCCACAGGGTCAGGGGGCTCTTTTTGTTGGCCGTCCAGGTCGATCGGTCCACGCGGTGCCAGAAACCACCGCCGGCCGTCGTCGTGACGTGAACCCGCCGCAGGGGGCGGCCGAGCCGACCCCTGGCAGACCAGGGGGCCCTCTCCGAGACGACGGCCGCCCCGAGGGCCGCGGGGCAGCGCTGCACCTTCGCGCCACCGGCGTGCTCGGCAGCAGGTGCTCCCCGCTGGTCTTCCCGAGCTCAGGAGGGAAAAAACACACAGACACAATGAAGCGTCGATTCCCAGAAGATATGGGAAAGCCTGGGAAGTGGGGGGGAAGACAAGAAACCAGGAAATATAGAAAAACATTGGGATTTGTTTTTATTTGTGTGTATTTATGTGTGTGTCCTGGGGCCCCTTCATAAGCGGGGTGCGAGGGCCCCCGAGCTCTGGGCGCCGCAGTCTCTATGCACTTCGGGCGCTGTCGCCCAGTTTCGGGCCCCCGGGCCCTCGCAGGAGCAGCGGGGTCCTGAGGGGGAAACGGGTCCCGAGGTTCTCCGCCTTGTTCGGGCTCTCGGGGCCCTCCACGGGCCCCGGGACCGTCATATGCGGGCGACAGTTACATCCACATCCAGTGCGTCTTGGATCTTTGGGCTCTCTGCCCCAGAAACCGTAGACGCACTGGATATGGGTCAAAATCTGGCCCCAAGAGGCGACTCGGCGTTGCGGCACCTCTTCCCAAAAAGTCCACGACGTTCTGGATATGGATTTGGTCCTGAGGGAAGGCCCCAGGGTCCAGGACCCACTTCCCACAGGACCAGTTTTCCCCCCATGCTAACAGATCGCGACCCAGTCTGAAAAGTGCAAACAACTGGGAGGCTAAAGGGTTCGATGCGCGGTTTCCAATGATTTCGCAGTTTTTCGAGACGGCGCATCCCTGGGGTTTTCCAGGATCGAAGGATCACGCTGCGTCGCCGATGTATCGGTGATGCGGTGCGTTCTGGGGTACGATTTTCTCCGTCCAGACGTGGCCGGTGCCTCGGCGATTCGTCGGCGACGCGGCGCGATCCTCGGGCCCCACCTGTTGTAGCCCCATGCGAGACCTCGGCAGCCTGCAGGAGAGTGGCGTGAGAGCGCCGCCTCTGCACGGGATTGCGTATGAAAGTGGCAGGGGATGCCAATCTCCCACGCAAGCCACGATGCATCACAAGGTAGCCATTAAACAATGTGCGGATCTATTCGTGCAGGCATCTGCTGTTCATGGGCTTTCAGATGGTTTGTGGGGATGTTCTAATTTATCCGAGGCGGAGATCGATCCTTATGATGCTCCAACCTTGGTTAGCCTTGACTGCCAGGAAGAATTTCGAGCGCCCCACAAAGTACCGAAACTGAAGGGTTTTCACGTGTCGGGCACTGGGAGACACTCGCCCGACACTGTTTCGACACTCTTTTGACACTTTTCCTGTTGCTCGAACTTATTTCTGGGTTGTGGTCTTGTTGTAGGATGGGAACAACATACATCTATCCATAACCACCGCCTGGGAGATCGAGCTTCGCGTGCCTCGCTGGGCGGCGGGTATGGATCTCTTCGGGCGCTGGGGGGTGCCAAGTATACACATGCCCGTCAGCAGGCTGTTGACGCAGCACCAGCATCGACACCATCAATATTAGCACAGTTGTGGCCAGCTGGTCCCCCCCACACCCTCCCTATCATCCAAAGGGTGGTTTTTATAGGTACAGTCATACAGAGACATGCACGACGCATTGACCGGGAACAGAATCGGGCGATCGCAAACATCGATCGACGGGGCGTGCATTAGCGACGTGTCCCGTTTCTGTGGGCATTCGCAGGTGTCCGCCGCCGAGCGAGGCGGCACCGGCCGCATTCTGGGGAGGGCACCTGCCCCGAGCCGTGGCTCTGGCGACCGCGCGCCAGAGCCATGGATCGCCCTTCCTTACCAGCCTGGAACATATCCCCATCCCTATGCTGGGCACCTCCTCATCACGATGCCAGTCTTAGGGATCCCCTTACTTTTTGAGGGCGGATCCCTGAGATTGTCATCGCCTTTTGGCGTGCCAATCTTAGGGATAGGGATACGTTCGAGGCTGGTAGCTCCCGTGCCCGCGGGCTTCCCCGGAGGAGGGAGGGAGGCGAGGCGTGCCCACCACCGCTCGCCGAGGCCCGAGGCCCCCGGGAAGCCCGCTTCCCCCTCGGGGCGGTGGCCGTGCAGACGCCCCCGCGCCGCACGTGCTCGGGAGGGGGACACAAGCCGCACAGAGGCACACGGAAGCGTCGATCCCCAGGAAGAGGTGGGCAAACCTGGGGAGTGGGGGGGGGGAAGGCAAGAGCCCAGGAAATATGGAAAAATATGGGAAACATGTCGAAACATATGGGAAAGCCATGGAAAAAGATGGGGAAGGCAAGAGAGCCCAGAAAGTATGGAAAAATATGGGAACCATGTCGAAAAATATGGGAAAGCCATGGAAAAATATGGGGAAGACAGAAGCCCAGAAAGTATGGAAACATAGGGGGGAATCCTGGCTCTGTGTGCCTCTTTGTCTGTGCGTCCCAGGGCCCCTGCAAAATTGCAAGCGCCCAGCAGCGGTGGCGCTGTGGCGCGCTCGGCGGCTCCCCGGCGATGCCTGTGCCGCCGATGCCCGGGAGGGGGAGGAGCTCCCAGGCACAAAAGATCGTCGTTTCCGCCCGGCACGCTCTCCGGCCCTGGCACGCACAGAGGCCGCGCTGAGGGACCACCCCCTGCGCACCCCCTCTGGTGTCGAGAGAGTGCCACGCATGTCACGCTCTCCGACCCTGGCACGCACAGAGACCGCGCTGAGAGACCACCCCCTGCGCCCACGATGACAGGAAGATATGGGACGCGGAGGGGAAGAGGATCATTCAGCAACTATGATTGAGTCGGGCGTGCCCCTCTACAGGAGGGATGTTGAAAAATAGTCCAACAATAGTCTGGGGGCAGATTTTTCGTCTATTTCTGACCATTTTGGAGCATTTTTGCGCATGTTTGTTTTTTGCCTGAAATCCCCCTGTAGGGGGACAGGCACGACCAAAAGCTATGGATCGATGTGGGGAATCTTGGGCTCCGTGCCTGCCTGCTTGCGCGTCCCTGGGGCCACCTCGGCCGCCCCGGGCGCGCGTGGCGCCAGGCCAGCCGCTCCCGCAGTTCAGCCGCCGCTTCTTCATCTCGCGCCAGTCGTCCCTGGAGGAGGCCCTGCGCGGGCGGGGGGGTGGGCCTTGGCCCCCTGAGATGGGGTCGGAGCAGGTGGCGTCGGAGGGTCGCGCCGCATCGGCGATGCATCGACGAGGCGCGTCGGTGTGCAGCCCGTGCGTCCCCACGCGGGCGTCGCCGATGCGTCGCCGACGTCGACGATGCATCGCCGATGCATGGGTGATGCATTGGCGATGCGGTGTGATTCTCCGACCCCATCTGCTCCGACCCCATCTAGGAGGCCTTTGGTGGGAAGACCCAGAACCCAGGTCTGGCGCGGATCGATTCTTCAGTCCCGACGTTTTTCGTCGATTTCGGCATTTGTGGGCAGGTTCTGGTGCCCAGGGCCTTGCAGAAATTAGTCCGGTGTGGAAGACTACCCCTGGGGAAGGGGTCGGGTCGGATGGGGCTAGGACGAGGATCAGTCCTTTCACGAGCGTTCCGGAGCGCTCTCAGAGCGCTCGCCCGAGACATCCTCAGGGGCAGCGCCCGCATGCATTTCCACCCCCATTTCAGGGCATCCCTCACACGCTTCGTGGCACTATGGGGAACTTCACTGAAGGCCTCAGTGGCAGCGCCCGCACGCAGTTCCACCCTCCACTGCGGCACAACCGTTTACACGATTCGTGGCCCCATGGGGAGCTCCACCGAAGGCCCCAGTGGCAGCGACCTCATGCGGTTCCAACCTCACGTCGGCACCACAATTTACACGTTTCGTGGCCCCATAGGAGTTCCACCTACGGCCCCAGTGGCAGCGCCCGCATGCGGTTCCAACCGCCATTCGGTGCACCGCTCACGCGTCTCGTGGCCCCATGGGGAGCTCAACTGAAGGCCCCAGTGACAGCGCCCGCATGCGGTTCCACCCTCCATTTCGATGCACCTCTCACGCGCGTCGTGGCCCCATAGGGAACTCCACCGAAGGCCCCATGTGCAGCGCCCGCATGCAGTTCCGACCCCATTTCGGCACAGCTATTTACACGTTTGCACCTGAGGCCACAGTGGCAGGGTTCGCATGCGATTCCACCCGCCATTTCGGTGCACCGCTCACACGTTCGTGGCCCCACAGGGAACTCCATCGATGGCCCCAGTGGCAGCGTCCGCGTTCGGTTACACCCCCATATCGGTAAACCCCCACATGTTCATTGCCCCATAGGGTGCTCCACCGAAGGCCCCAGTGGCAGCGCCCGCATGCGGTTCCACCTTCAATTTCTACGAACCCTTCACACGCTTCGTGGCCCCATAGGGAACTCCACCTGAGGCCCCAGTGGCAGGGTTCGCATGCGATTCCACCTTCATTTCGGCGAACCGCTTGCACGTCCCTGGGCCCCACAGGGAGCCCCACCGAAGGTCCCAACGGCGGTTCTCGTATGCGGTTCCACCGCGATTTCGGTGCACCCTTCACACGTGTCGTGGCCCCATAAAGGGGCTCCACCGAAGGCCCCAGTGGTAGCGCCCGCATGCGGTACAATTTCCCGTTTCTGGAACCTGTCACACGCGTCGTGGCCCCAGTGGCAGCGCCCGCATGGCGGCCCCGCCAAATTTCCGCACATCATTCACGCGCTTCGTGGTCCCATGAGGAGATCCGCCGAAGACGATACTCACAGCGACGGTTCCCACAATTGCATATAGTTCGGCCCTTCGCCAGGCTAATTCATAGTGCTTTTCAAAAGCTCTGCGCGTGCGCGCGCTTCCTAATTCCTATGACAGTCCTGGCCTCGTGTACGCGTGCCGAAAGCATTCGAACGCCCTTGCGCGCTTGATAGGGAGGGCACGATACAGTCCTCCTCTTCCTCCTCCATTCCTTTTTCTTATAAGTAGTTTTTCCCTGTCGTGCCCCGAGGCCAGTTTTTAGGGCGGGCCGGGCGTTTCGCCTGAGACTTCCGCACTATTTATGACTCTGAAGCTTACACATTGGCAACAGTTTCACAAATGGAGGGCGGGTCGTTTTCAAAATATGCATGCGATCTAAGAATTCGCAAGAGTTTCACGGGTTGAGGGCGGGCCGTTTTCAAAATGTGGCTCTCGCCTTAGCGCCGCGCACACTCATTTTAAAACATGGCAAGAGTTTCACGGATCGAGGGCGGTTCTTTTTCAAACTGTCTCTCTTGTTTGAGCGCGGTGCACATTCTTCTACACATATTTCAAGAGTTTCATGTATTCCCATCTTCAACGTACCAGAAATGTATTTTGGATGGATTCCGGATTATGCGGGTGCAACAGTTACGTTGATCCTTTGTTCTGAAGTCCTAGGAATGGCGTTCTGGTTCGATTCAGTATCGTCAAGACGCTACAGTCAGGTTGATATGTGGCGTTGGAACCTCGAGAACACTGTCTTGGCATGCTTCGGGGTCTTCAAACGGGTGTCTTCCAACGCGGCAGTTCAATCAATGGAAATGAACCGTTGTAGGCGCCTATGAAGAGGGAGCTTGGAGTGAGGATTTACTCCAACATCGTCGATGACTCTTGGGTTTACACTGATCCTCCTCCTCCTCATTCGGCCCTCCCTTCTGTGCTAGGCCATGCAAAGGAATACCAAGCAACGCAAAGGAACGCCACGCAATGCGAAGCAATGCCAGGCAACTCAAAGCAAGGAAACGCATATCAATGCTACCCCAGGCAAAGCACCGCAAAGCAACGCAATCAATTGTAAGCCGTTTGCAGCAGTGAGGCGCATCAGAATGCGTTGCAATGCAAGGCGTTGCAACGCGTTGCAATGCAAGGCAACGCGGAGCAATACACAGTCACACAAAGCACTGCAACGCACTGCAGAGCAAGGCGCAAAGCAATACAGAGCCAGGCATCGGAATTCAACGTGTTGCACATCGATGTAAAGCAGCGCAAGGCAACGCACAGCAAATCAACGCAAGGCAATGCGAAGCAACTGCAACTAAAGAGGGGGCTTGATTATCATCAGGGTGGTTCCTCTGCCATCTGCTCCTCGCCCTCCTCCCCTTCCATCGAGAAGAGGATGGGCGCAGTCCGTGGCACCAGACCGGGGCCTACTTCCATAATGTCGGTGCAATTCGCAATCGATTCTGGTCGGCCTGATCTGATTGGATTCCGATATTCCCGCCATCCGATGCGGCCTGACCACTGCATGGACGGTGCTGTTCATCCGAGGCGATTCTGGCTCCGCGCCGATGCGACCCGCACCGTCGCACGTCTTGCTTCGCTGTTTCCCGACTCGTTGCCGACTGATCTTGCCCCTCCCTCGAGGAAAGAGGCAGTGGAGCGAAAATTGACGTACACATAACAACTCAGAGGTCCGCGCGGATTTCTGAGATCGGCGATGGATCCCCCTCCCTGGGGCGCGTAGCGCGCCAGGGGCGGCGCTGGAGGTGTCGCCAGGGGGCCTCAGCGCCGATGTGAGAAATCCTCGCCGACCTCCGAGTTTTTAATGCTCCTGTTTTTTGTTCGTGCCCCATATACCCTCGCCTCCCGCGGACACTCCGGAGAAAATGCCGATGGTTGGAGGGGTGGGGGTAGGCTTTCGGAGGTCGCGACCCCTCCGCTCGTGCAGATTTTTGTTTCTTGAGGCACAGCCGAGGAGGGCGGCGGCGACGACGACGCCCCCGCCCCCGACGCAGGGCAGCACCCGTCGGGGAGGAGGAGGAGGAGGAGGAGGAGGAGGAGGAGGAGGAGGAGGAGCAGGAGGAGGAGGAGGAGGAGGAG